AGGTGGGACAACTGTAACTGAACTACAATAACATTAGATAGATAGATAGATAGATAGATAGATAGATAGATAGATAAGATAGATGATAGATAGATATAGATAGATTAGATAGATACATAGATAGATAGATAGATAGATAGATAGATGATAGATAGATAAAGAGAGATAGATAAACAAGTGTTGGTGAGAATATGGAGAAAAGGAAACCATCCAGCACTGTTGGTGGGAATGCAGGTTGGTGCAGCCACTATGGAAAACAATATGGAACTTCCTCAAAAAATGAAAAATAGCACTGCCTTATGACCCAGCAATTTCATTTCTGGGTATATATATGAAAAAATCCAAAACACTAATTTAAAGGAATGTATACACCTCTATGTGCATTGCATTATTATTTACAAAAGCCAAGCTATGAAAGCAACCCAAGTGCTCATCAACAGAACAGTGAATAAAAATGTGGTGATATATACCAAAGGAATATTACTCAGCGATAAAAAGCATGTGATCTTACCATTTGCTATAGTATGAATGGACCTAGAGGGTATTGTGCTAAATTAAATAAGTCAGTCAGATAAAGACAAATATCATATGATCTCAGCCATATGTGGAATCTAAAAAACAAAATAAATGAACCAACAAAATTGAAACATACTTTCTCTGGCAGGGTAGCTCAGCTGGTTAGAGCATGATCCTAACACACCAAGGTTGCTGGTTCAGTCTCTGGTCAGGGCACACACAAGAATGAACCAATGAATGCATAAATAAATGGAACATATGGTATTTGTCCTTCAATGCCTGGCCTATTTCACTCAGCATAATGCTTTCCAGTTCCATCCATGTTGTTGCAAAATACCATATGATCTCACCTTTGACAGGAAGCTAAAGAATAAAACAAACAAGCAAACAGAATAAAAACAAAGACGCTGAAATAGAGAACAAGTGGGCAGCGACCAGAGGGAAGAGGGAAGGGAACTTAAGGGGAAAAGGGGGGAGGGATTTTGAGGAACAAGTATGAAAGACACAGAGATGAGGACTGGGGGGGGGGATGGGAGGGAGGGGGGAGACCGGGCGGGGGGGGGGGGGAAGGGAAAAAAAATGTACTTGAAAAGTAACTAAATAAAATTAAAAAAATAAATAAATAAATTTGTAATTTAGGAAGAATTACACATCACTGAAATATTCAATTTTTCAATCAATGATCACTTCATTTAAATCTTACTTAATATCTCAATAAAATTTTATTATTTTTTATAAAAAAATAAATGGAACAACAACTTGATGTGTCCCTCTCTTCTTTCTTTCTCTTTCTTTCTTTCTTTCTTTCTTTCTTTCTTTCTTTCTTTCTTTCTTTCTTTCTTTCTTTCTTCCTTCCTTCCTTTCTTTCTTCCTTTCTTTCTTTTTTTCTTCCTTTCTTCCTTCCTTCCTTCCTTCCTTCCTTCCTTCCTTCCTTCCTTCCTTCCTTCCTTCCTTTCTTTCTTTCTTTCTTTCTTTCTTTCTTTCTTTCTTTCTTTCTTTCTTTCTTTCTCCTTCCTTCCTTCCTTCCTTCCTTCCTTCCTTCCTTCCTTCCTTCCTTCCTTCCTTCCTTCCTTCCTTCCTTTCTCTCTCTCTCTCTCTCTCTCTCTCTCTCTTTCTCTCCCCCCAATTCTGTCTCTAAAATCAACTTTTAAAAATGAAATAGATTCACAGACATAGAGAGCCAGCTGGTAGTTACCAAAAGGGAAGGGCTTTGGAGAACTGGGTAAAAATGGTGAAGGGATTAAAAAGTACAAATTAGTAGATACAAAGTGCTAAAAGATGTAGAGCAAAGCATAGGGAATATAGTCAATAACATCTTGATAATTATGTATAGTACCATGGATACTGGAAATATCAAGGAGAACACTACATAAAATCTAACCACTAAGTTGTATACCTGAAACCAATACAAAATAACGCTGAAACTAATATGTTATTGAAAAGTAAAAAATCATGACAATAAAATACAAAAGCAAAGCAGACAAAAAACTTGTATTGGTTACTTTATTTCTAGCCAATTTAAATACAGCACCAACCCTAATATTAGGATCCAGGCTTTTAGTTGTCTCATCCCTCAAAAGCATGAATTGCATTGGACTTGGAAGAAAGTAATTCCCCCTTCCCAAAAAGAAACATTTCTAATGCCCCTGTATAAATCCAAACTCTTCTCTCTGCTTTTTCAAGAAGGATCTTATGGCTCCCTTTTTAATAAAAGTACTAAAAGGCTTGGCAATCTCATTTTCTAAGCACCAAAAAGATGTAAACAAACCAATGGAAACAGGAAAGGTGACAACACTGAGGATGCGCAAAAGAAAAAAAGTAGGTACCAACTTAATATAATAAATTTTCTATATAATGATCATATAGTCATCAAGAAAATAAACTATTTTGTTCAGAATCTTTGTTTTGGATTATAAGAAAATATGCCATATATTTTCAGAGAACTTTATTCTGAGTTAAAATTAAAACAGCCCCGACATTTTAAGAGGTGAGGTTCATGTATTTGGAACTTCCATCTTATTCAGAACACCCATCATTGCCCAGTGAAATCAGACACATGAAGAGTTAATAAAAGAGAATTAATCTGTTTTTCTAGACTGGGGTAAAATGCAAAAAGGACCTCATGGGTCAAGTTTCTGAATATATATTAGTCTAGTTCTATAGTCCTCTGCCCAGAGATTACTGTTGAAAATGCCAATACAAGATGGAAAGACTCAAAATACATTACAATAATCAACCCTGCAAAACTAATTAGGAAGAAGGCTTAATGCTTCCAAGAATATGGGACAGTAACAAAATGTAAAAAAAAAAAAGAGATAGAGAGAGAAAAGCCACTATGAAATAATAAAATACCCTGTGTAATACTGAAATATTTCAAGGCTAAAGGGATCAATTCTTAATATTCCTTGAATGAAATGTGATTTTAAAGTCAAAAGAAGTTTTTTAAAAAGTCAAAAGAAGTTCACTATGGCTGAAGAACACAGAAGTTGGTGATAGGCAGACTAAGAAATACTGGTGACAAGATGGGTGGAGCCTGGGTAAAAATGGACCTAATAAAATCATGTTAAGGACTTTAGATTTTAATCTAGGAAAAACAGAAATCCATTAATTACTCTAGATATGATAGATATGATTGAATCATAAGATAGATATGATTAAATATTCATTGTAGAAGGAACACTGGCTACAGGTTGCTGGTTCCTTTGGAAGGGAGCAAGACTTTAGAAAGTAAAGCCAATTACATATTCTTGCAGTAGTCCAAGTAGAATAAAATATTATATTAAACTAAGGTTGTAGCAGGAAAGTTGGAAAAAAAGTATATGAATTTAAGGGATGTGGCAGCTGGAAGTGACTGATCTTGGTGATTAATTCATCTGGAGAGTAAAGGGCAGAAAATTAGCAAAAATGGTTTTAAGTTTCTGGCTTAAGCAATGGAATACATGGTGGTTCCATCAACTAAAACATGAAAAAATAGAAAACAAACATATTGTGTTTGCTTGTTGTTTGTTTTTAGAATTGAAGGAGGATAGATGGAGACAATGAGACTTCTTTGTATATGCTTAAAGTTTTTGGAGAAGTCAAGTGGTCACATCCAATATACAGTTGGATTTAGAGATCTGACACTCAAGAAAACTTACAAATAGTGATTGAGATAAGAGTCACTGGCATTTATGTAAGGTAACATTGTCATTGGGATGGATGAAATCACTTAGAATCTGTATAGTAAGAAGAGTGTCTACCACGAAAAAAACAATATTTGAGCAATGAACGAAGGAAGAGATTACCAAAGAAATTAAAAAAGGTCATTATATCACAGAAGCTTTGATAGAGCTGTGTAGAATTGTAGAAAACACAGTCATAAAAGTATAAAGAAACCCTGGTGTAGTATTTACTTTTGGTACTATGTCCAGATCCTTTCACTGGGCCAGTGAAACTATCTCACAACTACTTCACGATATTGCCATCAGCCGAAGGGAGGCTAGGAGGTTATACTTCAGTCAGTTCTTGGGAAATGATTGATTGAGGTAAGACTACAAAATCCCAAACTCACTGCTTCAAGTAGGGCCAAATATGTAGTGTCATTCACGTTCCACATCTCTCTGAGGGATCAAATGGAACCTTTATTTCCTCCCCTTCCAAACTTACTTCCCTTACTTCCACACAACTTTCACCAAGAGCATTCTCTCTATACATCATTTACCTAAGACTCCTTGTCTCAGGTGCTGCTGCTTCTAGAGCATCTAATCTAAGAACCAGGGCATTGTGGTATCTCCGAAGTCAAAGAAAGAATTATATTTAAATTTACATTTATTATATATATATATGTTTTATTTCATAATAAAAATTAGTAAAAGAGGGAGAAGAGAGTCAACAATGTTGAAAGTTACCACATGGTACTAAAGAAATTAATTTATAGAAGAACAGATAAGTGTTCATTTTAGCAACAGAGCCAACCAACACTGGCCATATTGGTTTGTGTGAGTCGCCTTAGAGTCCTGAGGTTGGAAACCAGACAGCAGCAGTGGTGTAGTGGTAGAACAGAGTGAAAAGTAGGGAAAATAAAAAAAAAAACAGTTCTTGAAGACGTATAACTATAAATAGGAGGAAAGATTTATGGCACTATCTGGAGGGAAGATTTTAAAATATAAGATGGAAGATTCTTAATCACATTTAAATGGTAATGGGACAGAGCCAATAAAAGGACAGGTGGAAGATCCAAGAGAAATTGATAACAAATAACTTGACAGAATTGCTTTTAAATTGTTACAGAGAGAATTCAAACATGGGCCAGGGAGTTGCACAAGACATCACTTTCTGAATTGAGAGTCTGAGCTAATGATGCTTTTCCAAATATAATGGAATATTAGACATGCAATGTCTAGTATTAAGGACCAGAGTACATTAGTTAATCTGGGAAAAAATAAAAATTTTGGCCGAAGGCAAGGATTTATCACATGATTCTTTTGTTCTAGAAGGATTCTTACCCGCCAATATCCTGCTTCACAAATTCCCCAGGTTCTTGTCGTCTTGATTCCCCTTGGCCATCTGTTCCAGGGAGAATATTAATCAGGAATAGAAGCCCAAGACTGGTCAGGTAGAAGTGCCTCATCTGTGTGATTATCATCTTCTTAGGCATCAACATGGAGAGTCCTGAGAGATCCATTTTAAGGGAAAAGGGAAGGGGGAAAATGGACAAAAGAAAGGAGAAGTTTCAAAAAAGATTTTATTTAACTCTATTAGAATTACTTAACTTCCCTAGTATCTAGTTCTTAAATGCTTAATGTGAAAATTCCTTCCTTCAGTTAATGTCACCAAAATTCATTCCCAACCTACCCCTCTTTCAATATACTAGAACCCATCCAAGTAAAAATAATGTAAAGAGCTCTAAATCACTAATCGGTAGTCTTAGGTTGCAGTTCCATTTTTTCCCCTGTTTTTCTGTGATGAGGTGACTCACAGAACTTCTCTCAGCCTCAGTTACCTCTTATAATCCAAAAAAATTAATCTATCATATTCATTTTATTTTCCACCACTACTCTCTGATCTTTACTATTACAAATGTCTTTGCCATAGTTAAAGGTATTCTTTCAGAAAATAATAGAATATTAAGACCCAGAGTCATTTCATGGCATATTTAAGATTAATTCTCATCTTGATACAATTAAGCAATTTTTCTGCAAACCTCATATGGGTAGCTTGTGCCTTCTTATACAGCAGGTTACATAATCTGGATATTCTTAATTTAATACACTAGCTAAAGGCTCCTCAACACAATCTGGTATAGGCACAGAAAAATATAATACTGGAGAAGGTGGACTTCTGACATGAGGAAATGTTCACATTAGAAATACTCATAGTATTAGGTGGTATCATATAAAATTATGGGACAATATGTATTTTTTTCACAAAACAATTGCTTTTTAAATATATTTTATTGATAATACTATTACATCTGTCCCAATTTTCTCCCCTTTGCCCACCTCAGCCAGTACCCATCTTCCCTCCAACAGTCCCCCACCTTAGTTCATGTCCATGGGTTGTGCATATAAGTTCTTTGACTTCTCCATTTCCTATACTATTCTTAACATCCATCTTTCTATTTTGTACCTGTCAATTATGCTTCTTAATCCTTGTACCTTTTCCCCCATTCTCCCACTTCTACCTCCCAGCTGATAACCCTCCAAATGATCATATCAATGATTCCGTTCTTGTTCTGGTTGTTTGTTCACTTTGATTTTTTAGATTCAGTTGTTGATAGTTGTGAATTCATTGCCATTTTGATGTTCATAGTTTTGTTCTTCTTTTTCTTTCCTTTAAACATTTTATTTATTTATTTTTACCAAGGTGAAAGGAGGGAGAAAGAGAGGGAGAGAGACAACATGTGGTTGCCTCTAAAATACCCCTTACGGGGGACCTGGCCTACAACCCAAGCATGTGCCCTGACTGGGTATTAAACTGGTGACTCTTTGGTTCACAGGCTATTGCTCAATCCACTGAGCCACACCAGACAGGGATGATCTCCTTTTTCTTATATGATTCCCTATAGTGTTTCATAAAATAATGGCTTGGTGATGATGAACTCCTTTACTTTACCTTGTCTGGAAAGTCCTTTCCTACCCTTCCATTCTAAAGGATAGCTTTGCTGGATAGAGTAATCTAGGTTGTAGGTCCTTGCTTTTCATCACTTTGAATATTTCTTGCCAGTCCCTTGTTGCCTGCAAAGTTTCTTTGGAAAAATCAGCTGATAGTCTTATGGGAACTCCTTCATAGGTAACTCTCTGCTCTTCTCTTGCTAATTTTAAGATTCTGTCTTTAATTTTTGGCATTTAAATTATGATGTGTCATGGTGTAGCTCTCTCTTTGGGTCCAGCTTATTTGGGACTCTGCTTCCTGGATTTGTATGTCTATTTTTTTTTGTCAAATTAGGGAAGTCTTCTTTCATCATTTTTTCAAATAAGTTTTCAATTTCTTGCTTTCTCTGTTCTCCTTCTGGCATCCCTATGATTTTGATATTGGTACATTTGGAGATGTCCCAGAGGATCCTTATACTATCCTTGTTTTTTTTTTTTATTCATTTTTTCTTCTTGCTGTTCTGGTTTAATGCTTATTTCTTCCTTATGCTCCAAATTGATTATTTAAGTCCTGGCTTCTTCCCCTCCACTGATGGTTCCCTGTAGATTTTTCTTTATTTAACTTAGTGTAAATTTTATTTCTGGCTGGGTCTTTTTTATGCTGTTCCAATACTCAATGAGTTCTTTGAGCATCTTGATCACCAGTGTTTTAAACTCTGCATCTCATAGGTTGATTATCTCCACTTCATTTGGTTCTTTTTCTGGGGTTTTGTTATGTTTTTTTTTCCATTTGAGCCACATTTCTCTATCTCCTTAATTTGGCAGCCTCCCTATGTTTGTTTCTGTCTATTAGATAGGGCTGCTTTGACTCTTAGTAGCATGGCCTATTACAGAAAAGACACCTGTAATTTTGTGGGATAGAACCTTAGGTAATTGCCAGGGTGGAGCCACCTGCTTCACCACTCTGTTGCTCTGTGTGGGTGGAGGGCTCAGAGAGGGGACAATGACACTGCCTAGCTTCTGGAGTTTTGCCCAGAACTTGCTCCATTCCTCGTTACTTCCCATATGCTATTGGTATCCTTCCAGTTGTTGTCCTGGTGCAGAATCCCACAGTGTGTGGGTTTGTATATATTCTAAGTTCATGTAGGCCCTTTAAACAGAGTATCCTCAAAATCTGGCAGTTTCTTCTGCCATTCCAGCCACTGATGGTTTTTATAGCCAAAAGTTATGGGAATTTATCTTCCTAGTGTTGGAACCTTGGACTGTGTGGTCTGGCCTGTGGCTGGGATCACTCACTCCCAAGCTATTCCTCCTGATATTTATCCACCATATATGAATGTGGGACCATCTGTTTCATTGCCACCGCTGCCCACCCGTGCCACACTGTGTTTCTGAATGAGTGTGGCTTCTTTAAATCCTTGGCTGTCAGACTTTCATACAGTTCAATTTTCTGATGGCCCTGGGTGTTATTTGTTTGGAGATCTAGTTGTAATTCTTTCTATGGTTCTGCAAGGAAGTGAAGCATGTCTATTTATGCCTCCATTTTGACCAGAAGTCCTCTTGACTACAAATCCCAAATGATTTGGCCCCAAACAGCAATTGTTTATGGTCAATCTAATATGTGTTTGTGGCATTCATGTTTTGTAAGTTGTACAAGAGTTGATGGTCATTTTATAAAAATGAACAGAAAACAGAATAGTTCAGAAAGCCATGGCATATCAGTAAGAAAATATAATGCATAGGCAGAAAACCCTAAGGCATGAGAAACATCCATATGCAGAAACCAATATATGTGCTCAAACATCCACAGTGCTTTGGCAGACCCTAATGTTGTATAATCACATGATAGAGATTAATTTTTAGATAATCATGATATGTGATTGACAGTTACTGTACAGAAACAATTGCTGTTTGGGGCCAAATCATTTGGGATTTGTAGTCAAGAGGACTTCTGGTCAAAATGGAGGCATAGGTAGACATGCTTCACTTCCTTGCACAACCATAGAAAGAATTACAACTAGATCTCCAAACAAATAACACCCAGGGCCATCAGAAAATTGAACTGTATGAAAGTCTGACAGCCAAGGATTTAAAGAAGCCACATTCATTCAGAAACACAGTGTGGCACAGGGAGGCGGTGGTAGCAATGAAACAGATGGTCCCACATTCATATATGGTGGATAAATATCAGGAGAAATAGCTTGGGAGCGAGTGATCCCAGCCACAGGATATGAAGTCCAAATTAAAGAAATGATCCACAGAATATAAGAAAGAACCATGGTGGGTGCTCAGAAAACATGAATGCATAAGCAATCATTCTGGATACACAAAAATATGGCCATGCTGCATGAGCAAAGAGACTCATAGTGTGTGTTCAACTATGCTATTATAGTATATAAATATAGGTTATGTTGCAACAATCATGATAAACAAGTAGCAACCCTTTACACTAAGAATAGGTGCCAATGAATAGATGCAAATATCATGATTTGGAAGGAGAAACTATGATATACAGTATGATGCATTAGAAGACAACAATGTTATATGAACTTATAACTAAGGTACATATTGAAATAACCATTATTCATGAGAAGACTGCTATCATATATAGAAGAAGTTAGAAATAATATATATCCTCCAATTACCATGACACTTTGTTAGCAATATCATTATTTTAATAATGCACATAGAGACATTTATGGTATAAGACAATTTAACTGTGGCAAGTGTCAGAAAATCGTAACACATGAGCATAATAGTCAGTGAACAAGAGAAGAAGGGCTTAGTACTTACTTCATTAAGATATTGTACATGATCAAAAGCATGCCACGAGGCTGTTGCACAACAGTATGAATATATATAACACTACTAAAATATACATTTAAATTGTTAACATTTGCTATTTTCTACCATGTTTAAATTTTTTAATTAAATTTATTGGGATGATATTATATCATCCCAATGGTTAATAAAGTTGTACATGCCACTGGACATGTAGCCTTAGCAAAGTAGTAAGTTTCTACAAAACAGGCCTCAACTCTGGTATATGTACAAAGAAATGTGGCACATTACCAGATGCTAGCATTAACTGAACATACATACATCCATGGTACATGATCAGATGGCCATCAAACAAATGCAGATAAGGAATGTAGAGGAGCACAGACACCCAAAATTCTCATGACAATCTTCGTGAATTTTCAAGTTACTGTAGTGTGTAAACTGAAAACTGTGACACTTGAACAAAGAGCCTTCAAACATGATAAACTATACATGTAGCTTGAGAAAACTATGGTATAAGTTTAGACAACCATGATGCATGTGAAGCGATATTTGGTACATTAGTCCTTAACCATAATGTGTGCACATACAGTGTGTATATTATGGCTACCCTGATACAGGATTAAGCAATATGATTTAGGAGCAAATGGCCACGACAGAGAGGAAGACTGCTATGATGCAAGAACAGAGGGCTATGGTCTAAGAGAAGGCAGAAATACTCAAAAAAATTGGGGGGGGACAAGAAATGTTTTTTTGGTTATTTACTATTATACTTATGGTAACAAACTGGTGTAGTTA